TTTCAAGGGTCTCATCGCACTGAAAACTTGCTTGGATTTGTGACAGCACTTTTACATAAAAATAAAAGAATTCACAGTTTCCCCGTGATGTGGTACCAAAAATCACATTAGCAGATAGTTGAGCAAGAAGATCAGCATTTCATACGTCCTCATCATATACCCCATTTTTAACTATGAAATATTGAATTTCAGGGGTTTAACATAAAACCCGTCTCTGGAGCTGTGCTTGGGGCACCTCCGTGTGGCGGGGTAGCCGCAGGGACCGGCTGCATTCACTGCCCGTCAGGCTCCAAAATATGGCCGAGGTCGTTTGTCTGGTGCAGGTGGGAAGACTGAACTGATCTGACCTGATCCACGGTGGCATGGGGAAGATTCAGAGGGAAGAGATGCTCTAAAGCTTAATACATCTGGAATATAGATGGGAATCTATTCCAAGCTAAATGCTGTGTGTGCAGCAGTTGGCGTTGGCACCAAAGACCTGGGGTCCCCTTCCAAGCCCCTCTCACCCAAAGCAGCTCTCCAGTAGCCCGGACACGGGGCACAGCCGTAGCTTTTGGGGTTGTTTTTGGGGTCCTGGCATGCTCTGTAGCAGCAGCAGCTCGAAACCCAAGCATCTTATTGCAAACCTTTTGCAGACGCGGGGCTGCCGGCAAAGCCCTGGCTCCTGCCCCGCCGCCAGCCAGCTCAGCTGCCCCCAGTCACACTTTGCAGGAGTTATTGCAGTTTTATAGGCAGACCTGGGCAAAAGAAGGTGGCTTCCTGAGGCTTTGCCCCATTGAATCCCTCCAGCCCCCGATGCTGCTGCTCCCCCTGGTCCCCGCGGCCCCACCAGGAGAAGCGCGGAGGAAATGATCAGTCAGGGGAGAGGGAGAAGCATCCACATCTGTGCGGGGAGAGAAGGCAATAAATAACAAATGAGATTTGATTATATAACATAATATTACTTTCAATGTAAAAATGAATTACGCTGCACGCGGTAATAAATCATAACTTTACAATCCACCAGCACGGAGCCAGTTCTGAGCCACAACATCTGGAGCTCAGCCTGAGCTTCCCAGCTTTTGGGGACACCTTGACCCGAGCCTCATCTCCGGCAGACCAGATGAAGAACCTGAGCCTGATTATCACGGAAGGACCTACGTGGGGATGGAGGCACCGTCAGTCCGTGGCACGATGCAAAGCTTGCAAGGAAGCCAGATGGATTAGGAACTTTTTTTTTTTTAAAGCTACAGCAAAACAAAGCTGTAAGGTTGGCTGTCTGAACAGGTTGCCTGCTGTGCGATGGTGGCAGGAGATACACCTGGAGCCACGGCCAGGTCAGCTCTCACTAAACCTTGCACAGTTCTTGGTTTAAAACTTGGTTTAAAATGCACAACCTGCATTTTGGCTGCAGCAAGCAAGAAGAGCCCTGCTCGTCCCACGCTAAGCAGCATCCCCGGTCGCTTTATGGGAAGAAGCAGAGAGATGCTGGAAGGCCAGGGGAAGAAATACTCGCTTTATTGCTAAGCTTGGCACATCTGTATCTCAGTGAATTGGCTTAACTACAGCTCACAGTCCTCATTTTAAAATATGGGCATTTCTCTGCTGGAGATGCTGTCCTCTAATATTTCCTTGGGCTGAAAGCTGCGAGGGTCAATACATCAGCACTGAAGTCTGCTGAGTGTCTGGAAATAAGGCGGTATCATTTCCAAAAGTAAGTGACCACCAGGCTGCCGTTAGCTCTGACATTGCAGAGGAGGAGATGGCTTTTTGCAACGTTGATTTACTGACAATTGTTGGAAAAGAAGCAAGCAAGAAATGAAAACCCAATATTTCCATTACCGTTTGCTTAATAAAAAAATATTGTAGGAAAGTCAGGCATCATAAAACGCCCATCTCCTCTCTGCGTTTCCAGGATCGCACAATACCTTGAGCCAGGGCAGCGATCAATTAAAGCCCGGAGCGAGCCCGGGGGCTGCTCTCCCCCCAGCAGCACCCCCTGGCCCATTCCAGCTGGGGCTGGGGCATGGCACCGACCGATGGTAGCCCCACGACAGCTCTGGAGCATGCTGTGGCACGGTTCTTCCAAGAAACCATCTTGCACACTGAGCAGTTTCTCCTCCAAGGGGCCCAAGATCATCCTCATCATTTTGCTCCCTTGCACAAAATCTCTGCTGGTGCAGTGGGAGCGGCGCTGCTGGGACATCGGAGCCCGCCGGCTCCCTTATTCCTCAGCCAGTAGCTTAATCTATTCTAATGATCATCAGTCCCGATGTGTAGTATAATCACCTTGTCTGATACAATTGCTGGAATCTGAAAGTCAGCTAGATTTTAACGGTTTATCATTAGGAGCATTATTTAGCTGGATTAAGCTGGTCTTAATTCCTCTGCAGCCATCATCTCAAAGCTGCTGGGAGCCCATTAGGGCAACCCCTTGCCCCGCTATGAATCAGTGCCCTGGCTGCACGCTGGATGTTTTTATATTGCATTTAGCAAGCAGTGACACGGATGGACACTGAAGTACCACAGGCAATTCATACTCATGAACTGTCCCTGCCTCCATTCCTAGAGCCTTAGCAAGTGCAGCGGCAGTGGATGGATGTTCCTCTCCAGGTAGCACAGCAGACCCAGTTTGAAGACCTGGCTGGAAATGCTCATGAACTGGAGGCTGGAGAAGCCAGAGCAGCCCTTCCTGCAGGGTCCTGGGGCTGCAGGATGCCAGGGCACATCCCAGCACCCAGCACAAGGGCTCAGGCTCCAGAAAGAGCCACAGAGAGCAGCGAAATAAAGCAGGGACCTTGTACAGCTCTTGTCTGAGTGCTGACATGAGACGGAGACAGGCTCTGCTTTTTGTACCTGCAAAGAAGGTTGTTTTTCTTCTGTGTTCTTGTGTTTCTGGTGCAGCTGCAACCAAGCCCCTGCAAGGCATCGTACTAAGACCTCCAGGGACCATTTGCTGCTGCCACGAGATGCTGCAGAGCTTAAGAGCTGGTGAGGCAGAAGAGGAGGCAAGGAGATTGTGGAACAGCCAAACCATGTTTCCTTTACACTAATACAACATTTTTTTAATCAGCAGGAATACAAATGGGCATTTAGAAAAAATGCTGGCAAACTTACTTTTTCAAGAGCTAGTCAAAAGTGGTGAATTAAGCACATTTTTATCTAAACAAGCAATCAAGATCAGCGTGTAACGACCAGGAATAACTCTTCTGTGGACTGAAGAACCGTATTAGGTAAATTATTTGATTAATTTGTATAAAAATAAAGGACGAGGCATTTTAGATGTTTCCTTTAGTTAATGAGATTTCCATGATAGTTAAAAAATATCATTAGAAAACAATGCCATTAATCCTGGATTACACGCAACACAGTCAGAAGACTTAGTGGCATCAAGCAGGAAGATTAAGACACTTTGCTCTTCAACAAAATAGCAGTGGTAGAGGCTACGCACCGTGTTCTCCTGCCTGAGGTTAACAAAGAGGGAATCAGGAGCTGTCTTTTCGTCCCTAACTTGGTGCATTGGCACAGCTCAAACTTCTCCTTTTGACGTGGCAGAGCCTGCTTCTGAGAAAAAACAAATAGGGGCTGAGCAACGTGACGACAAAGAAACCTGGCATCAGGAAACAGCAATGAGAATTGTGTGATGTCAGGTTACCCGAGCAGGCACTGCTCATGTAAGCTGCTGCTGGAACAGAAGCTGCAATTAGCTCACATTTTCAGGTCCAACAGCAGGGACAACTATCCCCTGCCCCTCCAAATCACTCAACAGCAAATTCGTTGTTTTTTTTTCCCCCTCAAATATCCAGTTAACCCATATATGAAATATATGATAAATGAAGTATCAATAAATAAACTATCGTTGCTTTGCATTCAGAAAGTTATTTTCCCCTGAAATTCTTAAGTTAAATGCCAGTAACTTTATACACCCCCTATTCAGCTGTTTTAACAAACAGCAGTATGAAACAGGGATAAAAAGGCAACCCAAAATAGGATTACTTATAGCAATAAAAAGGGAAATAATCTTTGAAGAAATAATGCAAGACCGAATTCTAACTGCATTAAAAAGTAACAAGTCATGGTTCCAATCAGCAGCCAGGCAAGCGCCTGATAATCTCGTGTGTACAGCATATAAATCTGCAAGTGAGACAAATTGCATTTTAATTTATGTACTGAAAAGGTTAACTTCTAATACCCTCTGCTAGCTTAAGAAACCAGGAAAAGCATGTTCACTCAGAGTACACAATAAAGGCACCCTGCACGTGGGGAGCTCACCAGGAGCCCAGCCGTGCAGGGCTGTAACACATCTCAGGAGCGCACAGCTTTCCACGATACTGTTTGGAAATGAATTCGTAAAAGGGATTTGGCAAGATCACAGAATTTGGTCACTCATATATGTAAGTGACTATTGGGACACCGGGTGAGATCCGTTCACATTTCCCTATCCAACAGCAGGGATGATATCACCCCCCAAAACACCCAAGCCCTATTTTGCGGGGGGTTATTTTATTGTTGTTGTTTTAATCTGGAGTGCAGGACGTTCTAGAACATCCAGAGAGAAAAATGCTTCACTTTTAGCGTGCACTTTTGGCAGAGATTTAGATATGATCAATTGCACGCAGTTTATTTTTGTTATTATTAATCTCTTCTGATGTCCCTTCAACAAAGTTATCTGAAATCAGAGGGGATGAGTTCCATGATAAGCCCACAAATGCACTGACTCATACCAACTTAAAAAAAACAGCCCTTTTGTTCGCAAAGTTATTTATTGAAGTGAATCATTATACACATACATAATGAAATATTCACTGGAATTTTATTCTGAGATCTTATTAAAGTTTTCTTCAAACAGAACAGTTTTGAATAAAAATACCTAACACACCATAGACAAGGTACAATCTTGGCATTCCCCCCTCCGGTACTTACCTAGACCAGCAGCTTGGTGAGAAATGCAAGTCATAAAAAAACCCCTTCCATGCAGTGTATGATGGCACACAGTAAATATATCCCATGGAACACACAGGTATTGATGAATAAATGTTTTAATTAACTGAACAATATAAAGCACAATAATACTTTACAACGAGCTGTACATGAGGATCCCCCCAGCTTACAAGAGTGATGTAAAAGCGCAACAATGGATCCTGCATTTTTTTTTTAAACAGCCTTATCTAGATGTAGATTTTCATCTAAAAATAAGTCACCTCGTGATATGAATTGTATCACGACATCAAATAAATACTTCTAAAGCAGTCACTGCTGTGATTCCCTATCATGATAGGGAGAAACAGCCTAAAATGTAGGGGAGGGGAAAAAATGAGGAGAAAAGACTTGATATCATACTGAAATACAGTATTAAATGTTTATTTTCATATCCTTTTCAAATAAGTAATGACAAATCAATGACAAAATAAATAAAGTAACAAATGTGGTCCCTCAGCACATCCAATCTCAACTGTTTGTTGAAGTCAGCCAAGAGCAAAGTGCACGGGAGGCAGGAGCCGACCCCGACCCCGCACTAGGCAGTCTCCTCGCCCAGGAGCAGCGGTTCCACTTCCAGCGCCACCACGCTGGGCTGCCCTTCCTCGTGCTGACGATACAGAAGGAACTGCACAGTCACCTGTTATTTTGGGGTAAGGAAGTAATTAACTGGGACACGGAGGCAGCACTTGCAGTGCTGGCTTTCAGTGAACGGCAGAAAGCCGCACAGAATAAAAGCAGCCACCCATTTAGCTCTGGCTCGGGCTCTGAGCACCACAGTCCACAGAGGAAAACTTAAAACTTGTTTAATCTAATTCACACACTGAGGGGTATTATCCATTTTATTCAATCCTAACTGTGGAATTCTCTACATTATCATACAAGCTCTTCCAAACCTTACTTAATACTCATTTTCAGTATTTTTTTATGACAAGATGTTTAATCGCTTTATTTGCAATACTAAAAAAGAGAAGATACAGGAAAAAAATAACTTAAAACCTCAGGCTTTATGGCTCAAATACAAATAGAATATCCTTTGCTATCTCTTGCCTGCAAGGGTTGTAAGCATGAAATTCATCAGACACACAAGAGGAGCATCGTTCACCTGGGGAGCCCACGTGGGGCTGCTGGTAAGGAGGGGAGTTGGTAAAAACTTCTTCGAGGTGGATCAACTGGGCCTGATCAGGAAACAAAATTCTGATTTCCTGCAAAATTCTCCCTCATTTGGTACTGGAAGGCAATGACAGGCCAACAGCTCTGTGACTCACTATTTAATACTGTTTTCAACACAGAATTGTGCAATTAGACATAACTGCTTATTTCTATTGTAAACTAGACCACTGGAAATACTGCTAATCTAAAAAGAATTAGCAAGTATGTACTTGTCCTTTTTCTTGATGATTCCAGCTCTCAAACAAAATTACTGACTTTGAGCATATTTAGCCTTTAAAAAAATGGGGATGTGCACTTAGAAAGGAATAAGAGGTGCCTTACTCCTCAGAACTTCTGATTGTTGAGTTTTATACTTGGAAGCAGGCTTAAAAGTACAGGGTGTGGAAACAAGAAGCCATCCGTATACCTGGGTACCCCTCTGCAAAGGGCAGTGGATGCTCATCTACGTTCAGCTTTGAGACTTGTTACCACTACTACTACACGTAAAACCCCACTTTAAACTGAAACTGCATTTCTCTGGGAGGAAATCTGGCATATAAAATTTTGCCAGGAACGCTTCAGCCCACTTAAAATAACTTGGCTGGTAGACAACGTTTGTGAGAAGTCTGAGGCTAATGTACATGCTTATTTATAAAAATAAGAATTAAAAATAAAAAGCTTTCTGGGAGGCCTGGATAGAAGCAGAGGAAATTCTCTACAAATTTCTTAGGCAGCACCCCAAGAGTTGTCCCACGTTCCCAAAGCTCTCCTGCATCCCACCTCTAAGGCCTCCCAGCTGAAGACTAGACAGGATTTCCTTCAGAGACAGCAGATCAGCACTCATTTCAAGTCCTTCTGCAGTATTATGCAGGAAACTTTAAGAAGAAAGTTTAGCAAATTAGTGTTACAGCATATGTAGCTACCGCTTAAATTTCCTGCCTGTTTCTTTTTTCAAATAGGCCTTGTTGGACTTGCAGCCAAACACCTCCCCAGGCCTTAAAAGCTGCACTGGTAGAAAATGCTGCTGTGGGTTGGGGATCAAACCAGCTGAAATCACACCGTGGGCTGGGGACGGGACTGTGCTGCATTACCACTTAGCCACCAAGCTGGCAGCAGCAACAGAGCTCTTAATTTCTGTAACTTACCATCCTTCTGTGGAATTCACTGAAAAGTATTTCCAGAATGTTGGTGTGTTGATTTTTTTCTTTCTTTTTTTTAAGCGTATGTGCTCATCTGGTTGTATTTTTAAAATAAATGCTAGACTGCCAAGACTACTTAATATAGAAACACGCTTGCTGCTCAAGTCTGTGACTTTCTGGGGGAAACTCCAAGGCCTCTGTACGCAGAGAGCCCAGAGTGGAGGTGAGAACCAAGCTGAGTATTCAACACTGGTGTTTATGACAGCCAGTGAACACGTTCATCAAATCTGTTCCATTAAACCTATAAAGAATTTAATGACAAATCAAATAATGCAGGACTTTTGAGACAATTGCAGGTAGTTACAGGAGCACAGAAAAGTTTGGCTGGGAAAGTCTTGCTGCCTTGTCAGGTCAGACTTACATTCTCTGCACCGTGTAATTAAATTACAAAGCATGATGTTTTGTAGAAGTATATAATGGATTCCAAGTGGCTGCCCTGCAACTCACAAAAGGTGCAAGATAAAGAGTCCGTGTACAGCAGCTTGGCTCTTGCTGAATATCCTTTGGCTATTTAGTTATAACCTGGCTACACTTAATGAAAAGAAGTACCTGCAGAGGATTTGAACATCCCTCTCTGACAATAGGGTGATGTCAAACAAACAAACAAACAAAAAAGGCAAAAATCTTAGTAAAGGGCCTTACCTGAATCTAAATACAAAGCAGAGTTGTTTGCTTTTGCTGGGGGCAAGGAGGGGAAAGAAGCCAGGGTGAAAGAGGACACAGAGAAAAGGACAAAGTTTTCCAGGAAAGTTGTGCTAAAGTCAGTCTCTCAGACTTTTAGCAGCAGCCAACACTACGTTTGCAAGGGCAGAAGTGGCCAAAACCTCATTATTTTAATACTACATATTTTAAATCCTCGTGTACAAGCAAGCCATTAAATAATCACACACATAGAGCTCTAGTGAGGAGCACTGTGGAACCCTAAGATAGGCAAATACGGACTTAAGCATCTCTCCCAGATAAGGCACCCCACCCTGCACGTTTAAACCTTGTCTTTCACAGGCTCTTAGAATCAGAGTGGTTTGGGTCAAAAGGGACATTAAAGACCATTTAATCCCAAACCCTCTGCCCTATAGGCAGCGGCACTTTTCCCTAAAAACCCTTGGGAACCTCCAACCACCTTCCTCTGCAAAGCAGCAGTTGGAAGGAAACAATTACTGGAAGAGACAATCACGTCCAATTTATAATGAAAATGTGCAAAGTTATGAAACTCCTTAAAATGAAAAAGAGGACAACGCATACTTTAGAAACAACTGCACACTTCCATTATTTATCACAATAACTAGCTTATTGTGTGCTCAAATAACTAGCTTTAGACACCGAGGAAACAAGGATGACCATGTTATCCCGTTAAAGCAAGCTGAAATGGGTCCGGTGTAATCCTGCACTACCTAACACTGGAGCTGCAGTTCCAGCTACGATCGGGAGTCCATTTGGTTCTAAAAATAGTCAACGCCAGCCACGGCAGGCGGAAGCACAAGAAAGAAAACTGCAGCAGACACAGAGTAAGTGAACCCTTAATCCTTCCTTGGACCTTGAGGAATGAGGGCTTATCTTCCACCTAATGAAACTCTGCACACTCTGAGGAATAAACCACGCTGGAATTAGACAATTTCTACAACTACTTCTCAAACCACAGACTGCTGCACAAATGCTTAATTACGAGACACCTCTCTTGTAGAAATTACAACGTTTTCATTTAAGTCCTCTGTTTTTCAAAACCTGAGTGGTCCTGTTCTGGTCTAGGTCTAACATGACATATCGGTTTGTTAGAATTTTGATTTTTCTTGCTTGGCAAGAGACAGTAATGAAGCTCTCTTTAAAAAAAAAATAGCGTTTACTTCCATACCTTCAGGGCTTCTCAAAGCTGGAGGTCTGCTTTTGTTTTCTCTTGATTACAAATACTTCATACATTTTCAACTAACACTATATACTTGACTAGATTTCTATAAGCTCCCCAACCTGATTTGGGAGCATCTGCTTCCAATATAATTTGAACTGGAAGACTATTAGCAAGATTGGATTCAGACTCCAATCAAGAGGGAGCAGAGAAATGAATGTCATGTGCACACTGGCACTGCAATTCCTGGGGCTGGGCTCGCAGAGGGGAGAGGTTTGTGGCCAACGTAGAAGTTTTTGAGTACATCACAGAGAGACATCTGCTAATATGCACATAATGTACTGTAAGGGTCATCAAGATCAAATTCTAGGGTTTTTTTTTGGTAAATAAATACTGGCAGTTTTATGTTTCCAGCTGTGGAGAGGAAAAGAAAGTCACTACTTCATTTGTGGAACAAAAGGCCTGAGCACTCACACCAGCCACATGGGCTAGCAACCCTGAAGCCCTGCAGTCTGCTCAGGCAAAAGAAACTACATTGTCTCAAAAGATAAAAATTAAATTTACAAATGCAAGAAGCACGGACACTATTCTGAGGGACAGTACCATTTAACAGCCCATCCAAGGCGAGGGTCAGCTGTCCTATCATCAGGCTAATTGGAGGGGCTTATGAAATTACTTTAATTAGAAAGACAAGACTGGTGCCTGGGAATCACAACTTCTTCGACTGTTCCAGGTAAATCTGGTAAAGAACTTTCTTCTAATATGGAACAGATTAATGCTTTTTTAGCATGCTCTTGAAATCCCTCTCTACTCTATTCCATTTCATACTTGGAGTTAATGGAGCTAAGTACCAAGATGTTTTAAGAAACAAAACTAAAATTCTTACTCCAGGAAAGATCTGAAAATCTCCAGTTTATGCTATTTTAAATGAAACTGCAAGCAAAAGTGTCCAGGCAGGTGGCTATAAACACACAATGAACAGAAGAACAGCAAATACCACATTATCATTCACTAGACTTTCAAAGAAAAAAGTAAAATATTTATGGTAATATTGTACTTTTAATTTCTTGATCACAGAATGCTAATGCTCAATCTAGAAACAGCATGACTAGCAATAACTAAAACACTGCAAACATCTTACTTATGTCCCCTGAATTAAGAATAAAAAAAATTAGTGTTTAAGTTTACTCAGGGCTTCAAGAAACAGACATACTAACCTATGTAACTGTGTAGTAGTAGGGCAGCTCTTAGCACGACTCAGTGAGCGTAGCTGATGGTTTGCAGAGGCACTCAGTGTTTCAATGCATCTGATTTTGCCCCAAATTATACAGTTAAGGGTAGCTGCAGCATTTTCTTTTTACATGCTATTTTCTTGAAACAAAGTTGGCCAAAATCTCACAGCCTGTCTCTCAAGTGAATGCACTCTTCCAATAGCATTTGCGAGTCAGCCAAATTCTCAAAGCTATAATTCTATATTTTCATTTAAAAACAAGCAGTTTTGGAGGTGTTTTTTGTTTTTACATTTATCAGACATCACACAGAACAGCACACTGCAAAATTCCACTTCCCAACTTTTAGTATACTATATATTGACTACAACATAGAAATTAACCTGTGCAATGTAGCTTCAATGTAGTTATTTTCTATAATGTTATAGAAACGTTGTTACAGAAAACATATCAATTATTGTTCTGAAAGAAGATTTTTTTTAATTAGTTTTAAATTCCACTTAATTTCTGATCTACTTATTAACAAGCCCATCCTGAAAAACTCCAGCTGTAACAGCAAAAGGATACAAAAATGTCTAGAAACAAAACTCCAAAGCTCCCAATGAGCCACGGAAGATGGTGTAAAAAGTAGAGAGCTTGGAAGGATGTGGTAGCAGGCATCTTTAAAACAAGGCTCAGTCCATACGTACAGTTTCCCAGCATGGCTAATGCAAACAGCAGGTAAGAGGTGCCTTCTGTTGATCTTCTCCGAAACTAAATACAAAGAATTTTTACAGAAAAAAAATGTTAAAACATTCACCGCAGTAGATTACATGTTGTAGTATTTTGGCTGGGATGGAAAAGGTAAGGGGGGAACAGGAATAAGCTTGGAAATGAATTAACCATTTACACACTCTGCTAGAATACCTGTATGCATTTGATTATGTACAACCCTGCGCAGTTTTTCCTCCCACAGACTCTTCACTATTGGTATATTAAAAAGTCAGTAATAGCATCTTCATGGAAAATAGCCTAAAGCTTTAAACTAATTTTCCTCTAATTTTAAATTTTGATCATGTAGTTGTTTACTTAAGGTAGAATAGTTTGGAGAAAGAAGAGGGGAGATACCACTTGCTCATGCAACCAATCATACAAAGCATGCTTCTGCTCATGCATCTGATTGAACTGTGTTAAAAAAAAAAAACAAAAAAAAACTTTCCTCTTTCTGGCAAATCAGTCCTCTTCTATCAATTAAAGACCATCATTTTTCTAATATTCTCACCACCCTCTTCCCTTTTGAATGGAAAAATAAAGCCCTTCTTTTTCTTTACAGAGTCACAAAAGCCCTGCAGGCTTTTGATGTTGATGGCTCACTGCTAGGAAGAATCCAAAATGTCAAGCAACAGAGAGTATTTTGTAAACTATACAAGTATACTTAGCCAAAAAACTACTTACATTTTTATAAAGCTGAGGAAATCTACTTCCCAAGTAAAACACACAAGATATATAGCCACAAATGAAGCCTGACATTTCAATCATATCAAGGGAAGTCTGAAAAATAAAGGTACATATGTTTTGGCAATAATGTTTTCAAGCATTTCAGAGGCTTAGAGAGGCCACAGGCTATCATTCTGGACAGAACTCCCTTCAAAGCGGTTCAGGACAGCTCTTCAAATGACCAAAAAGGGCTAGAAAAGGTTTAATCTTTATCTCACAACAATGCACAGTGCTGCGTCATAGCCATGACTAAGATCAAAACCAGTGCCAGGCTTTAGGCTGTAACACTAATGCCAATCCAATCCTTCTGCTCAAGATGCTTGGACACAATAATTCAAGCCAAAACTAAAAACTGTAGCTAGGGCTACTAAGGAAAAAAAAAATCATCCTGTCTGGAAAAAGCAAAATACTCATTTTTCAGTTTAAGAGAATTGTTAGTTTTCTCACCCTAGCTGTATTTTGAAAATAAGCTGCCTCCCTGCTGAGCAATGTTGCTGGATTACAATTATTTTACTGGCATTAGTACGAAGGCTGCAAAATTGCTAGAATAGCCTGTGAACTTTCCTGGTGAAGTGACAGCAGCAGCAGCAGGTACAATTGTAATTTTCCACTTTTATTGATTTCACTTTTCACTGCATAGTCTCTACATGGATGTCCATGTTATCTAACACAGGCAGAAAGACAACACGTGTACATGTTGTTTCACAAAGCAGCACATCCTAATAACCCAAGGGACAGAATAAGCCCAAAACACAGGAAGCTGCTAAAAGAAGCTCTTTTGTAACTTCTTTATTTTGGGATGTATGGTACATACTTAAAACGTCCAAATAGCGCCACATTTATGATTTCTAAGGCATTGTTAAAAACAGCATCCAAATTTCTTTAAACCTCAGAGCACATAATCCTTTCAAGACACTTACACTGTTTTTTTTTGCTTGTTTGTTTTGGAATGGAAGCAGGTTAAGAACTTACATTACTTCTTTCCAGTACTGAACTCTGGTCTTGGTTTCTTACTAGCAGCTGGCAGAGCAGAACGATGCACAGGGCTATACACACCAAGATCCAGGTTACACAGAAATTCTTCAGGTTTTTGCTGCCTAGAATGACATAGACAAACAAATTAGCTGAAAAAGAAAAGGTAACTTTAAATTAACAGCAGATGTTATCTGCAACATAAAAATGCAAATCTAAAGGTACAATTCCAAGTTATCTTCTTCTCAGCAACAATTCGAGGCTAAGGAGTCCTCCTCTTCTCCCGGGCCATGTTTCCAGCCCTGCTCACTGTGCACTGTGTCTTAATGCACCACCTGAGGGCAGCAGTGCAGGAGCAGGAGGGAGCTCCTCACACAGGCATTGCTACTGAGACAATTTTCACACTCAGTTCATCTCTTAGATAGTTTCATTTCCTAGTGATTTACTTTTATGTAACAGCTGATAAACAGAAAGCAGCTAAGAATAGAATACAACAGTTTCTTTCAACACATTGCAATTTAAAAACACGAAAGCAACAATATTTGAAATTTAGATTACTTATTTATCTGAAAGATATTTTTGAATTCAAGTCTTCTGCTGGACCAGTGTCTATGTCCATGGTTAGCTAGATATGAAGCCTTATCTTTACATGCAGAGGCTCACATATACAAAGATAAAGACTCCATCTAATAAGTTTCCATAAATATCTACGGGACAACCTGAAAATGATAAACAATCCAACTGATCTCTCGAGCTATGCTATCTTCTGTATTTAAAAGGTACTGGTAAGCTCCTACAGTCACTGTTACCTGCGGAACAAATTTCTGTATAGCATCAGAAGGCCTGCCCTAAAGACCTGCAACCTATACAACAGGCACAGGAAGCAATACTGCTGTTTCAGAGGCTTGAAGATGCAAAATTGACCAACCTGCCTGCAGTAACAGCTCTAGAACTGGCTATTGAAAAGCTTTTATTCCTTTATTCCCCAAACCATTTCTTCCTCTCCAGCTATGCACAGAATTGAGCTGAAGCAGGCATGGACAGTTATAATGCACAAGAGCCTGCATTTGTTTTCAACAGCAGGCAGCAGGAAGGAAATATCTTCAGCACTGACCTATCTCCAGGCTTATTATCAGTTCCATATTGAATGAATCTGCTTTATCCCTATTTAGTTTGCTGGGCAGGCGTCTGTTTTGCTTCAGCTTTTTGTTACCTCCACTGCACCGTGGGTTTTAGGTTTTGTGTTTTTTTAGGTTGATGAAATAATGCTTTTAATTTGATACACAGTGAACATAGCTTTCTGTCTTCCATTGCTCTCAAAACAGTAGTTCGTTTGGTAGGCTGAATGCTACAACTACTGTCAGGATTTTATGAAGCAACTCAAGCAATTTCATTCCCATTAATACTTCTTAATTGTGGGTATTGAAACAGAACGCATGAAGACGTCAAGGTATTTTATGCTATAAGCAAATAAAGTCCTGTTTTAATCAACATGAAGGAAATTGAGCCACAGAAAGCAATAATAAAAGCTTACTCTCAACTTACACATACAGTTAGATGGCTGAAAGTAGATAATAAAACCATGGAGCAAGTTAAAATATGGAACCAGATTCCACAAAACTATATTTTTATGTCTATATAAACTGAAAGCACTATATAGGAGATAGGTACAGGTATTTTGTGGGTAAAAGGAGGGCAGAAAGGCAGAGTAGAGAAAGAACAGGACTTTCACAAGACTGAGAAAACTGGAAGAAATACACCTAACAACTCCAGTTGGAATTTGTGCACCCTATTTTTAGGTAGCTTTTCTTTAAATGCTATAGGAAACATCACAGTGAAGAATGTGCTACTTAACGGATAATATTAAGTGCTTAAAAATCTTACATTTCGTCATCTTCTGATTCTTGAGCTTATAGTATACATATTGTGAAATCATGATTATATCCATATTAACATAAGAGATGGCAGTGATGGTCTGAAAGAGAAAAATACATTTGCATGTTCAGTACACAAAAAGTTAAAAATGTTCCCATCTTAACTGTGCTTCATAATAATAATGTGAACAACAACTACCACGTTAGACAGCAGCAGATGAATGCGATGTAAAGCTTGTGCAATGGTGACATGCTGACACCATCACAACAGTTTGTCATTTTCCACGATGTATGGCACAAATTCCTGCCTGGGCAGACTGAAAAATCCTTTCCTGCCCAGAAGCTTAAGCCCACTCTACCCAGCTGCCCAGCACTTTGGAATCTATCAGTCTTGCTTAGTGCCTCCTGCCTCAAGAAGACAGAGCTGACATTCTCTCTTCTCCCTTTTACAATGGGGGAGATGAAACTGTTAGACAACATTAAGTTGTAAACTAGATGACAACTCTATCCACTCTTGGGTCCATCTCCAGCTTGGGAAAACTTCCGTGACTGACACATACATCTTTCTTTCATTACAAATTGAAAATAGAAACAGCAGACAACAAAGTTCCAGACACAATTAACAGATCACTGACAACTAAGGCTGGAACTGTATTTTCAAATTTTAACAGATTAACAAGAAAGGTCTAATTCAAAGAAGCTGTTAAAAGACAATTCTCAAAATATATATCATATATATGTGCAATATTAAGTTATCCTAGAGGTTAAAAAGACAGTCAAAAAGTATATAACAAAAAACAGAAGTATCAACAGATTACCTGAATTGGTAGTTGATTTGTTAAATAGCAGCCTATAAAATTTGTAAGATCTCCAGCTATCCAACACAGCAGAAAGCCCAAAGACAGCGCTTGATCCACTTTTCCATTCTGACAGGCAACGTAAATTTGACTGGCACAAATTCCAGAAGTAATTATAAAATATTGTAAGCCAAAAATGTTTGACAAGCTTGAAAATACATTTTTCAAAATCTGAATAAAGAAAAATTAAAACTCTTAACTACAAGAGACCCATCACAGCAATACCCCACTTACAGTCTGAATGAGAATTCAGATTCACTACAGCTCACCATGTCTTACTCTAATATAACAGAAGCTGAAATCACAACCCCATTACAGCTTGCGTTGAGTTTGTTTTTTTAAATGTGTGTGTCCTGCACTGAAGTATTATTTTCTGGACACCAGAACTATGCCAGCATCATTTCATATTCCTCTGCTGTTAAGTACTAGCCTTTAAGATACCTGAAAGAAGAAAAACACTTAACATAGAAGTGCTAAGAATGAACAAAGCTCCTGTAAGAGCTGACAGCTACACTCACGCTTCCAAATTGGAGAGCTGTTACTCAGATTCATAACAGGGGCTATGAAGCAATCCCAAATTTAAGTCCATTAGACATGTCTTGATGAATTCCATACCCACTAACACAACACTTTTAATGTAAAGTTCCTTTTCAACTAATATTTCTGAAGCTCAACAGCTTGCTAAGAGTGTTCTTATTTTGCTTGATTTCCATCACATTTTTATTAGTTCAGTAAATTATATTTCCCTTATAGGGACAGACTTTGGAGTCAATCCCATTTTGTTTCAGGCATTCTCATCTACTAGCAGCATTTCTGCTTTTCTTTTGCCATCTCCTACCTACGTTTGAAACCTGAACCCAGCACCAGTCCACCAAACAGCAACTGATTTAGCACCACCAAAGTGCTAACTCATGTGCTGTTTCTGACCTTTTCTGAGTCCAAACTTCATTGGCAGGAGCCAGCACAAGAGTACTGGTGACATGGCATGTGGTTTAAATAAACACCCAGCCAGTTTTTGCAGCAAGTGTGCTGCGTGTGCACACATCTCAGGGTGGAGAAGATAAGAGAGAAGAGGTGATTTATTCTCATTTGCTCTAAGTGGCAGAGATTAGTGTCAAGTCAGTACAACAGAACAGTACATCAAGCTCATTTGTCAACCACCAAATATTGTTCTAAACACGAACAACATGCTTCTCTGGCATATTATATCTGTATTATGCAGATAGAGAAACATATCCAAGATAAACTAAAAAAAGGCAGCTTGTGAAAAAGGCTTCAGGCAAGATTACTCATGTCTCAATCTGAGGACTGCCTAAGACTTTAAACTTACGGTAGTGCAGCAAACAGAAAACAGACAATGGAAATCAGTCCTATGACAACGCTCCAGTACTCCCACGCATTCTCAACACATTCTTCCAGAAGATGCCAAATCCATGGTGTTCCATTTATACACAGTCTCCTAGTCTCTATTGGGGAGATATTGAAAGCATGTGTATACAGCTGGGAAGCCATCATTTCTGGACTGAGATTCAATTTCAGAAGTTTATTTCTGCCTCCATTTTTACCCCATGCAAATCCGCAAATCCGTTTACCAATGCCGAATATCCGCTGTGAAAAGACCTCTGCATCCAGACGGATGCTTGATACCGCAGTTATTTCCAATCTCATAAATGAACCTGCCAAATTCAAAGAAATAAATATAGCCAGTGTGAATAAGACATTAACCATAAGATGCTTGATCATGTTTATTGCTTACAGAAAAGAAGTTAAGACTTCCAAGAAAGAGAAATACTTTGGAGCCCATCGCATTCATTAACCCTTGCAACACTCCAGATGTTTATCACTGTAGCATTTTAGCCTGAGCCTGTGTTAGACAGAGAGGTGCCAGAAATCTGCTACAGGGTAAAGTAAACACAGCCATTTATTCACACTTAACACCAAAACTCTGATTTTCACATTCAGCATTACTGCAATGAAGCAACAGTGCCTTCTTTAACAGTATCCATCCTGAAAGCTCTATTTACACTTCAGGAGCATAAATTTAGTGATCATTTCTGTGCAATTAATTCCCAGCTAATATTATGAAAGAAGTTATTTCTTACACAGATTGCAGACAAGCTCTAAGGTCTACTTGAATATATGTAGCACAATCAGCCTAATTAGTGATTCAATACAGTGTCAGACAGTTTGTATTATTTAATACTTCAGAGGAAAGAGGGAAAGCATGAGAAATCTCGTAAGGTAGATGTAGGGTATTTCCACTCCCAAACCACACAGAATGAAGCACATGAAGTAAAACATAGCTTAAGTTTTGAAGCACAAGATCTTTTTGACCTTAAAAAATATCTTGTCATAGCTAATTATAATGATTCTGGATATTTATTGTTCTTCCTATTGAAATATTCATACTATTGGACATCATATTTTTTTTTCCTAAAAGGCTAACCACTATAAAATTGAAGATTATTTTTTTAAAGCAAAAATACGGAATTATCTGTGACTATTCCTTGAGATTTACTGCTGACAAAAAAAAAAAAAGCTGCTTTCCCATTCACTGTGATGATACTTAGGTTCTCTAAGGGTTAATAATTTCCCATGCAGAGGAGTCTCAAATCTATGAAAAAAAGCCACAGCATATTTTAAGAAATTATTTTTAAAAATATCTATGTATTGTATTAATAGGTTCGCCTGTTTAGTACTTAAAGCCAGATGTCAAATCAGTGACAAGACAGCGAGAATTTTTAAGACCATTTGGGAACAACTCAGAAGCACAGCAAGTTCAGAAACCAGGAAGAAGTAACCCTGAGGCATGAGGGCATCCTCCTGTAAGTGACTACCTATCTTGAGGACAAGAGTCCCCAAAGGCCTCATGTTTGTGGCAGGGATTTTGATGTTCGTAATACCCTGTGCCTGGGATGGGACAGGGCTTGGAAGGGCTCAACTTTCTACCCTTCCTACAACACGTGTTGGAGCCACTCTCATTATGCAAACTACATTCAAGCCTTAATGAAGGTTCACAGTATTTGTTTTCATAGAGCATCATTCACTGTGATGTTAGGACTCACTTTGCTAATCATCAGGAAATCTTTTTTCTTTCCAGACTTCAAGTATCTGCGGTGCTGAAACAAGTTTTCTGCGGAAACTGGCTGCCTCTCAAGAGAGCTGTCATCATGGGACCTAAACCACACAAACAATAAAAAAGAACATGTTTTCATACGCTGAGAATTCATCTTTGTCTATTAGATATATTTAGCTTATACTGGAGAAGTTATTAGACTTTGTAGTCATCTTTGAAAATATTTTTTTAAAGTTAAAAAATATATCTATGAGTAATGTTTAAACTAAGCTGCCCGTTCTGGTACTCTGCAGCTGAACAGGGTCTCACCATCCACTAAAAAGGAGAAACAAAGTACACATGCTACTTTAGGCCACAAACTTTCAACTATCTATAAACACTGTAACAATAAACACGCAAATCTTATTAGCTTTCAGAAAACACTGCACCTCAACTTCATCCCAAAATGCCCTTTTTGATATATGCAAAATATTAGACATTTTAAACCAAAGTTGACTATGGTATTTAAAACTCTGCCTGAACGTCATGACTGCAGTTTGACTCATGCATTAAGAGTTCTCTTAAAAAAAATAATCACAGACTACAGGGTGAAAAGTCTAAATGAGGCAATTCAGACTCAACCACCTGATCTCAGGCTATACCCTGCTCCAAAACCCCGCAGCTGCTACAGAAACCCAAACAGTTTAAGAAGTGGTGGGAGTCAGGCCACTTACGCTCCCCAGATGACTGCAGCCTTGTGCGCTGGCCTCCTGCCACGCGCTGCACTTAACACATTTAAAGCACGTGGATATTCTCGGGTTGCTGTTCCTTAACGTTTATACAGCAGGGTAACTTCTGTGCTGCCGGCCCTTGAGACTATGCTTTTAGTCTTAAAATAACTGTGTGCTTTTTTTGTTTTATAATCCCCAGCAAGATACCGTGCCCCTATACCAAAAGCAATTTGACTCGTGGGTAGAACAACTGGATGCTTTTAACTAAACATATCTGCCACAAAACCCTTCTTACTTCTCTTCTGTTGCATGAAATGCTTTGCACCTGAAAAGAGGATGAGATTGTCGTCACATTTCTTTTCTTCCTGTAATATTAGAATTGATGTGGAAATAAAAGGTGAGTTATGTCCCTATAGAAATTTCACACCTACAGACTCATTCTGATTACTGCCCAAACAGTATTTTCTAGCATTTGAAAAAGTTGCAGTAGAGCTATTATTTATTATTTTCAATGAAGTGTTAGCCTGGAAGCTTGACATCACATCTTTCTGAAAGGGCTTAGTGTTTGCCTAGCTGGAAGTAAAACCACTGTGGTTTCGGATATTTAGTTATAAGGAATCAGTAGCTTGAGACTTTGCTTTGGACAACTTTCTTACTTTAATCCCCTACTACGGAATAGAGATGCCCGAACAGAAATAAATAGTATTTTAAGAGTGAAGTCCTCTATGTTAAGAACAGCTCCACGGTGCGGAGGCAAAGCACGCTTCTCCTGTAAGTCTGGTAACAGCCTGAAACCCAAAGGGATGCTCAGTTGTACAGTGTTTGTAATTTATTACTGGGGGTAAAAGAGAAAATTAAAAAAAAAAAAAGAGTTAAGGAGTAACTCGGAGCTTCTTCACACGCTCCCAGCATGAACCCGTTCACCCTACCCCTGGCTCTTCCCTGAGAGCATCGTCCCCCAGCTGTGAACGCTGCCTCCTCAGCGCTGCTGATAAAGCACGGCCACATCGAGCCTACAAACCGCGTCCCGTTCCCCCAGAAAGCCCCCAGCTTATCAAAACGAGCAGAAAAACGAGAGATAAAGAAGCGCCGTCCCAAAGAAGCGCCCAGCCCCACACCGCCAGCCCCGGGTGCCGGCGCCCCCCACCCCGCGTAATGGCGGCCCCGCGGGGCGGCCGGGGCCGGGGCCATGAGGGAGGCGCTGCAAGGACGCGATGGGGGCGGACACCGACCTGGCCACGGCGGCTGCTGCTCCGCGGATCCAGCTCGGGCTCGGCCGGCCCAGCACCGAGGGTCCCGGCAGGCAGCGGAGGGAGGCAGGGAGGCGGCCGGGCGGCCCTGGCGGGGTGACGGGAGGGGAGGCAGGCGGCCCGCCCGCCCCGCACCGCCCCTCGCCGCCATCGGCAGCCGCGGGGCCCGGGCGCCCTCTGCGGGCGGCTGCCGGGGCTGCGGAGCTGCCTGAGGGGGGCAAAACTGCAAACCTCAGGGGGATTGGGGAAAATTGGGAGTTTTTGAAGGCCCGGGTGGTTGTTGTGAGGGTGCACCGCTCTCTTACACAGCACCACGGCTTTCAGGTCTGCCTCCGTGTTGTTGACCAGGGCAGTCGCTGTGAGGGCAAAGCAGAAATCTGTCGGGTGGTCCAAGCAGTCCATAATTCCATATTGCTCCATAATTCTATATTGCTCCATAATTTCATACTGCTCCATGGCTTGCCTTCAGCTGGAGCAGAGGTTCATCCACGAGGGTGCCCCCCCGACTCTTGACAAGCACAAGCTGAGGTGCCTGGAAGCAGAAGTTAAATCTTGGCAAGATTCACTTCACGTGTAAATGCTCTACGTGCACCTTGGTTTTCTGGAGGCTCCTCTTTCCCCCAGAGGCTCCAAAGTACAGACCCAGGCTGTCCCCGCAGAGCCAGCCATCTCCAAGGAGCTCCTGTGTGGGCTCCAGTCAGTTTTTGGGTCTCCCTCTGAAAACTGAGAAATCGGCGTCTCATCCCCAGTGCCTAAAAACCAGGTTCAGCCCAGAATGAAGAGCAACAAACGTTCATTTACTGCAGGGCTGAGCCCAAATTGCCCTTTGCAGGCCTGGCCTCGGTCTGGGATGCAGCCACAAGCTTTCTGCTGCCTCCAAACCTGCCCTTTTCACTGCTGAGTTAGTGCCCCTTGGACCTGCCGGCGGCTCTCAGGCGCTGCCTTTTAGTTTAATTGGTAATGGCAGGTAGTGATCCAAGAGACAAAGGAGCCTAATGAACAATCCTGGGATCTTCACAGGACGTGCACTTTTAAGCATGAATATTTTAAAATATTTTGATAGGAAGGAATATTGTATAATTTACTGAATTTTTAATAGAATTTTGCTTTTATTCTCATATAGGCTCATCATTTCTGTAGTTACTGCAGCCTAGCTAATTAACACAGGGTTGGGAGACTGATTAAAGGAAGGGTTTGGGTATCTGTATTGTTCTGGTTTAATTGCTGCTCAGGCGATGATTCAGTGTTGTGTTTGGCAGCTGAGCAGCAGTTGTCTGGCACTGTGAAATTCCCCGCTTATGTCCACGAGGCTCATCTGTTGCTGACTGGCAAAGGCATGCAGATTTATATACTTTTATAATGTTAATTGTACGGGAAAATGAGAAAACTAGCAATTTAGGTGTGGAAGAGCACTGTAGTGATACCTCTAAAATGCTTCTAGAGGCTAGAAAATGTTTCCAGAAAGAGAGCGTGAAATTCATAGGTTTATCCAGGCCAGTTGCTGCTTCTGTTTCTAGAACGTGTGTATCTTGTATGTCATGAGCTGCATCTCATGACACCCACTTTAAAAAGTGAATAAAGAGAGGGTAATGTGCTGAAAGACAGCCAATTATTTCATAAATGTAAACTACACTAAAAAGTGATGTACGGCATTATATATTTATGGACACAATTTTGTTCTACGGTCACATAACAAAATGAATAATACATTAGTCCAAGAACTTGTCATTAAGTGAACTTCTTTGTTGCCTTGCCATTAAAATAAAGTCCTTGGTCTGTGTATATGCATGACATTAACCCTTTTCTGGGAGTACAGTGTAATGTGAGTGAAGGTACTATGAGATTGTAAATTTGAAGTTGATTTTATAATTTTTAAGGTGAAAGGATTCTAATAAGATTCATCTAAGATTTGAAGACATTCAGGATGGTTCTACAGCTCTGTTAGTGAGATGTGATAAATTGAATCGGTACTGAATATTATTTAGACAATAAAATGCTGTTCTTTTTGACAGTCTCTGTTTTCTGAACATTTTTATAGTAACCAATTGGAAAGAGAGAGATCCTTTGCAAGAAATAATGAGAAGGTGGAATCAGGGAAGACTTATTTAAACATTAGAAAACTTCCAGGTAAGACTAAAAATTCTGCTTGATCACATTTAACTCTAGTATATCAAGCTATTGTGTATTTTAAGTCAAATTAAGTATTTTTTTTTTCCAATAAGACAGAGGAACATCTCTTTACGGTCTGATGAGGAAGACTAAAGGGGTAAACAGTCTTGGCGATTAGGAGAAAATTACCTTTATGTTTAAACGTGGTTGGACTGGATATGGGAATTTCAGGCCCCAGCTTAAATTCTTGTCTTGCCCCATGAGCCCAGCTGAGGGGCAGGGGTGGAGAAAACCCATATACAGTTTGGTAGTGTAGCTGTCATAATGTTGAGCCTCCCAGGTATTCTGCAGAATCCTCCATATAGATGTATATGATGAGTTTGCACCTTTCAAAAGTAAGATTAAACTTAGCTGAAATACCATTTATCTCAGGATGTGTTAATCTGATTTTTTTTTTTCCTATTTTCTTCTTTTTCCCCATAACATGGTTGACAGAAAAATTGGATCAGTTTACTACCGAGTTGGACGTGAAAGGTGAACACTGAATTTTCTATTACTTCATTTTAATGCAATGTGTACACCTCACTATTTGATAAATTCAGACCTTCTGGGGAAAAACTGAGAATCATATTTTGGACACAAAGGATCAGATGTTGACTTACATTGCAGAGACTATTGGTTTAATTTTCTAGTTTGAGGGGAAAAAATTGTTTCTCTGCAATATTTTGAAGTTTCAGGGAGTTGTTTTCATACTGGAACCCCTGTTGTTAGCTGTGTGCCACATCTGTGGGTAGGAGGTTCTTGGGCGAGTGGGGATGCTTAAAGAAAAGGACAACACGTATAGCAGTATAGAGGGAAAAAACAAAAAATAAAAAATAAAAAAACCTGAGGAATTTTTTGAGGTCATGAAAGCTTTGTGAAGCAAGTTTTGCTTAGGTCCTACCCTAAGGTTAAATTAACTTAACAGGACATGGAAAAGCACTGAGCAAAACATGAGGAATTGCCAAATGAGACAGATAATGGTGGAGAAGCTGACAGTGGTTACGTATATGAGGGAGGTGCTGCCAAGCTACAGCACAGTGATGAGTCAATAGCATGATGCTGTGGAGAAAAGCAGCTGTAGCTCTGAAATGTGCTCATTGGGAGATGGCTGCAAAACATGGGAGGCTGTAATCCTGTAATTACACTTGAAAAGGCCTGGGGTAGGCTGTGGTGTTCTGTTTTCAGTGCATCTCTTCCAGAAAAGAGAGACCAGAGATACAAGGGTGGGGTAGAAATTGACAAGAGGATGTGAAAGAGGCGAGAAACTGAATGAGATGTTTGCTCCACAAGAGGCATTTGAGAGAGCAATGAATCATTGAGAAAGTGAGGCCCTGTAACAAAACAGCGATCTGTTATTGACTGTTCCTAATGAAATTGGGAGAAGTGCTTGGCTACTGGGTAAATTCTTAATTGGGAAGTGTTGAAACATTTACCTCTGGGAAGCAGTAACAGCAGAAAAACATCAGGTGTGTCTATACCTGACAACTCTTGCCTCAGCACAAGGATGTAGGTTAGATCACATCTTGAGGATTTTCCAATCCTACGTTTCTATGGTTCCACACTCACTTTATACAGAGACTTTCTTCTGCAAACGTAGCAAACAAAATTAGGTCTAGGAAAGCAGTTTTCCTAGGCATACATACTACTGCTGATATTAATTCATTTAAATAATTTCTCCCATGTGGTGTTGTCTATTTATTTATTTTTTTTCCTGTTGCCTGGTTTCCTTAAGCCATGAAATAAGTGCTGCTGCTCAGCTCTGCCATTGTTGACTTTAGAGTTCCTGGTGGAAGCACTGTTCCTTATGTTTGTATCTTTCAAAGCATTGTGCTCATCTGTGAGCTATAGAATTAATGATGGTAAGCTTTTGAAGTATTATATCCTGAACAGATGTTTCAGTAGTTTTTAAATACTGACTCTTACTTTGGCATCTCTCCATAGCCAAGAGGAGAACCTGTTCACAGGAAAGGCATGAGCTCATTGTACCACTGTGCGCTGCGTTTCTTTCTCAAAAGGTAGCAGAAATGCTTGTATTAATTTTAAATGCGGAGCTATGGAACGGATTATCTGGTATCATTAGTAGCTTCAGAGGATAGGTGTTTAATATTAATAATCACTGTTAGCCTATAGCTTAATTAGGGTGAGAAGCGTCTGGATGCTGTGCAGCACCGGTCTTGGTTCTAGATGCTGTTCCTGTCTGCAGCAGGCACGTCCTGGCTGCTGAGCTTTTGTCTCCAGGCAGCTGAGAACAGCATGTCCTCACTGCTGCTTATCGATACTGCTTCTCCTCCCTGGTTCTGGGACTCTTTAAAAGGTTTCTGGCTCTTAACCAGAAATGAAGAGCGTGAGTGCCTATTGAAACAGTCCCTTGCAGTCAGGCAGTTTTTTCTTCTGTGTGGGAGTAGCTGCCTTTGCTCTCCTAAGGTAAGTTTTCTTGACTTCTGCTCTCAGGGACAGAATACAAGGGTTACTTGGGCTGTCAGCAGCAGTTTAATTCATTTGCCTGACTACCCTTAAAAAGACTTTGCTTAAGCCAAGTGCAGATTTCTGCCCATTCAGGGTTGAAAGGGTAGGAAAGTAGGAAAAACATACAGAAATTTAGCAGTGAAAAATACAACGGAATTGTTGAAGTGCTCCTCAACTTGCAGAGCTTGTAACTGCGGAGGTGCAAATCCACACTCAATATGCTGCTTGGTACAGTATATAAACACTCTGCAGTGGGGTTATGCAGCTCAATTACCACAGTTCATAAACTATGCAGCTCAATTAAGAAGGCCCTTTATGTGGGAAACAATGTGAATGGAAATAGATGCCTGAAGTAAAAAATGCAGCTCAGTTGGAAAATGATTCAGGTAGGTAATGAAAATATGCCATCTGATATGCAAAATGTGAATGTGAGAGGGTGTGTGTGTGCGTGTGAGTGTGTAAAAATAAGTTGGGTGTGTCTACAGTTTGTCCATCACAGCAAGGAAGGATGCTGAGCAGCTGAAGAACCGTCAGGTGGGCCTGAAGTGACATTTGT